CCCCAAAACCCCAAAACCCCATGAGCAAATATAGATATCTATAAAATATCTGCTATATTATTTAGCTCTAATAATTAGCTTTTAGCCTCATTTATTTCTTTTAGACATTAAAATCTATTAAATTTAAAAAGTAAGAACCAAGTAAAGATACATAAATGTAAAAACAGCCTTAGGTATTTAATGGACTCTCCAATGCTGTGAGTAGTGGTCATCAACTAGAAATATTTTCATCTAATGGTCTAGCCTCAGCTTAAGCTAACTAGCATCCATAATACTACTAGACTTTGCAAACACCAATGCATCATTAGCCACCAATTTAGTTATAATCTTAGCCCTCATTATCAAATCATCAAGCTCAACTTTAATAGTAATAGCAGTAATAATAATAGCTTCAATAGCAACTTTAATAATAGCAAATTCATCAATAGCAATAATTTCAGTAATCCTAGTAATAAAACTAAATCTAGCATTAGCAATAGATGTATCATCAATAATAATAGTAGCAGCAGTATCAAACTTAGCAATTCATGCCTTAGTAAACACCTATGTCAGTGCCTTAGATGATGGGGTTTGCTTCAAGGGGGACAAGAGGATTAGCTAAAAAGAAATTATCCCCGTTTTTGGTTTATGTCAAGCATAGGAAGCCTGTACTAGAACAGGAAAGACCTGAAATAGCAATGAAGGAGATATTGCAGGTTGTTGGCTAGGAATGGCATAGACTTACTGAGGATTAGAAAAATATATACAGAGATGAAAGTGAGCGAGATAAAATGTTGGCTGATTAGCAGTTAGGCATCCCTCCTTAACTCTCTAAGTCTAAAATCCATCGAGGAGGCAGTCTAATGGGTGTGGATTAGAATGGACAAGTAGTATAGATTAAAAAGGCTTTGACGCCATATATGTGCTTTTTAAAGGAATAAAAACATTTGTTGAGTTAGTAGCACAGTGAGATTGTAATGAAAGAGTTTGTTAGACTTGGAGCTTAAAAATGGTAGACAATGACTGAAGACGATAAAGAGCCTTATAGGAGATTGGCTGATGTAGATAGAGTCAGGCATGAAAGAGAAAAACAAAGCATTCTACAAAAAGGCAATACCAATAGTGACATGGACCTATAACTAGCTTAGATGCACTTAGCTTAGAGAGTATCATAGAACTATAAGCCAATTATCCATATTAATGATATATCGACTATTGTTTAACCCGGAGGCATGCCATAATTGTCTCAAATTTCACTTTTGACCTAGAATTAAAATTAATACAACAATAATAATACTATCCTAGATTAAGGTTAACAATAGTAGCAGTAGTAATAGCCTTAATAATTAAATTAAACCTCATAAACTCAAAATTCAACTCAAGCATCTCCACAGGTACAAATAATTTAAAGAAATTTAGGAGTGATTGTGCAGCAGTTAGAGCAGTTGGATCAGACTAAACCAAAGCCACCCAATTCAGTACTCTTTTATTTTGATTAAGAGAAGCGCTAAGAGATTCTTGAAAGAGAGAGGCCTTAAACAGCAGAACATGCTTTTGAACTAATCAAGACAACTTTTGAGTCCTAGCCAGAGCATGAGCGCTAGAGATTTGAAAACATGGCAATACAAGATCATTAAAGGTTTAGGAAAGAGGATTAAGAGCTTATTGGTAGAAAGGAATAATTGAGCAATGCAAAGCTATCGCTTGAAACTCAACTTAAGCAAATTTTAAGTCAGGCAGGGTAGAAATTGAGCTCTACTTAATAGAATCTGATAGGTTAGCCAGCAAACATCATGGGTCATCCATTTGTGTTTCAGCTCCAGCAAGTTATTCAAAATCAGTAATAGTTGCTTGTATAGCAAGCATCTTTGATTTAAAATATCCTAAGTTGTCTTAAGGCAAATGGCATATAAATTGAAAGTCTTCAAGGCTTTTAAAACATTAATGGTCTTTCCACTGCTGCTGTACATGCGAATGTTGATGGCTCAATAAACAGTGACACTATCACTAAATCAGACTCACACTCTCCTCTAAAACAAGATCCAAAACTGAACGAAATCGGCAATCAAATATAACCAGATGCTGAAAACTTAAATGATAATCCAATGTAGATTTAATCAATTAATTAGAATCTACCTGGTGAATTAGAAAATTAAAATCCATTTATATGTGCAGAATAAGAGGAGTAAATGTAATAAGAGGGAAATGATTAGGAAATGCTAGACACAGCTGAAATGGAAAACTTTGCTGAGGAACTAGCCCATGAAAATCACCAAAAGATAGGTAATTTGCTTGAGTTAGAAAACATAAATGAGTTAAATGAGGATGAAGAGGAACAATTAGATACTAATATATTGGATGAAGTAAAAACAGAAGTAATAGATAATTTAGCAGAGGATTAATTAGATAATCAAGATGGTGAAGAATTAGAATAACATTAAGAAGAGGCTGAAGATTTAGAAGAAAATGAGGAAGATGAAAATTGAAATAATTACATAAGGATCAAGGGATCGATTTAAGTTAGAATATTTATTAATAGATCGAACGAATTATTAATATTAATTTCTTAACTCTAAAATCACAATTGAATGTATAAATGTGGGGTTTTGGGGTTTTGGGGTTTTGGGG